CGTGACTTCGCGTACGGTGAGTCCTTGCCTCAGCCGACGGATATATATATATATATATATATATGGCGCTGCCGCGACTTGCGTCACGCGTGAGATACGTCGGAGTATGGGGGGTGGGACTTGTGGTATTGTCTATGGCTGCAGCGCCGCTCGCCTGCGCATGTGGCGCTCGCTCTAAGGATGCGTGCGAGCGTCGCTCGCATGCGCGTTGCGCATTATACACCTTGACTGGCCCATGCCCGGGACTGCGCGGATCCCTGAGTTGGACTCGATCTAGCCTCTCAGCTGCCGAACTGATACACAGAAGCGGGAACGCGAAACCGATTTCTTGAGCCGCGTCCCCGAGCCGCACCGCCAGGCGACCAGGGATCAGATCGCCACGGCGGAAGGTTGCGCTTCTCGCGACTCCGAGCTGTTGAAGAAGGAGAAGGGCGAGGACGAGGACGAGGACGACGACAAGAAAATGAAGAAACTTGACGTGAAGCAGGAGCGGGCCTCGCCCGCTGCCGTCGAGCGGGCCTCGCCCGCCGCTCAGCGGGCCTCTTCCGCCGCCGTCCTCATCGACAGCTTCGGCGCCCCGAGCAAGGCTGACGTCGGCCCCCGCGCCGTCGCTGGGGCATGGAGGGAAGAGCTGGATGAGGCCGCCGTAGTGCCTGCAGGGCCTGCTGCCACTTGAAGTAGTAGACATTGGCGCTCCTCTGGGCCACCAGCCTCCATCCCGAACGCCCGCGCCAGCTCGGCGCTGGGGGCCGGGCGGCCCCGGCAGTCCAGGAAGGCCCACTCCACGCGAGCGCCACCGCCCCAGAAGGCTCACCCGCCCCGCCCCGCCCTGCCGCCAGCGCCCCAGGTCACTGCCACGTCGGCCCCGCCATCGGACACTTGCCCTGTTGCGCAGCTGAGTGCATCGAACAGGTCGGCGGCCTCCCCACTGAGACCGCGGCGGCCCCTGTCGGCCGCCTCCTCGAGGGCCCGCTCGATCGCGAGGCGCTCGCCTCGCAGGCGCGCCCCTAAGACGCGCCCGCGCACATGGCTCTGGAGGTAGTCGCTGGCCCCCTCCAGCGGAACGAAGATGCCCTCGGCGCGCAGCTCCTGCATCAGCTTGAGGCGCAGCTCCGGGCCCGCACCTGCGGGCGCGGTCGCCCGCGCGCCCCCTGACCTGGGCTGATCGTGGTCGTCGGGCCAGGCAGAGTCTGCCCCCTTCACCGCCTCTCAGAGGTGCGACTGGCTGTAAGCTGCAGCGCTGCGTAATCCTCCAACGCCTGGCCATGCCGGGGCCCCCCCGCCCCCCGGCTGCCCGTGAGCCCCCGCCCTTCCCTCGCGCATTGGCCTCGGCGCTGGCCGCCGCCGCCCCTTTGGGCCCCGCCGTCGTTGATATTCTCGGCCTCGGCTGCTTTCGCTCGTGACCGGAGCTGGGCGATCACCCCGTCTACTTGCTCGGGGCCAACGCGGGATCCTCCGAAGAGCCCCCCTCGCCACGTCAACTGCACCACCACCGTGTAGTCCAAGCCCCGCGGGGACACGATGGGATCGCGCGAGTTAGGACAATATCCCGCCTTGCGGGCGGGGCCCACTTGCCCTCCGCCCCGCGCTTGGGCGGGCCCGCCTCAGTACCGTGCTCCGTGGCTCCCGCCTTCGATGGGCCCTTGGCGCACAGGGCGCGCAAGTGCCCGTGAAGTTCAGGGCTGCCTCCCGACGGGGCACCGCTGGTAGTGCGCGTTCGGGCCGCCGAGGTCGAAGGTCCGAGGGAAGCTGACTGGCATCAGGAGCGCGTACTTGATATCCTCCTTCCGCGGGCGATCGGCATCCAGCTCGCGGCAGATGCGCCTGCGCAGCTCCCGTAGCTCCTCGACCCACGTACTACGTAGCTCCTCCCACAGGTTCTTGACCCAGTGATCGGGGAACTCCGTCGGGTCCTTCTGGTGCGCGGCCTCTAGATCGGCCAGCGCCCGACGGCGCTCGATCCCGTGCTCGACGCCGATGATCGACTCGAACATCTGTATCTCGCAGCGCGTGCGCCTGAACCAGGTCGCCATGTGCGACGCAGGCCGCTGGCGAGGCTCCAGCTTGTCGTCTACTGGGGGACGATAGCCGTCGAAGTCCTCGTCGCGGGCTGGGACGCAGTCGTCCACGCTGAGGTCGAATGGCACGTGCCGAAAGGCAGGGCGGCATAACCGTGCGCCGCCCTGTTGGTGACCAGCGTGGAGAAGGAGATCGCCTTGAGCGTGCCTTTCGAGTGAGCGCACATGCGCTTGAGGGAATCGAAGAGATCCTTGCCCGAAATTTCCTCGCTAGCCTCGACCTCGAAGGTGTTCCAGCCACGGGCGATGTAGAGATCGAGCTCCTCCGCGCGCCCGATGCCCGCCCGCGCCCCGCGGGCCTTCTTTTCCCCGTCGGCGGCGCGCGCCTGCCGCTCCTGGGCCAGGGTCTGACGGTCTAGGCGCCGAAGTATCAGCGTGCCGAGGCTGGCCGCATGCACGCCGAGACTCGCGGCGGCGTCCGCATCATCCGGGCCGCCCGCGCGCTCCCAGCCATGGCTTTCGCCCCTGAGCAGGCGCCCTGCCGTGCGCCCCACGGCCGACGGGCCGTCCAGCCGCAGGTTGGGCCCCCGCGCCGAACCGGGTCGACCGTCGCGTCCAGAGACGTCGCGGTCCCCAAACAAACCTTGTCTGGGGCCCTCGCGCTGCGGCGCTGGGGCCGACCCGAACAGATCGCGGGGGCTGCCACGAAACGTGCGATGGTTGTGCCAAAATGGGTGCGGTGTCCGCCTGCGTCCACTGGCATCTGGGCCTTCGGTGGAGCTCCCGCTGGGGGCACGAAGCGTGTGAGAGGTTACCAGACTGGGTGCGGCGGCGGCCTGCGAGCGCTGGCATCTTGGCTCTCCTCGGTGAAGCCACGAAGCGCGTGAGGGGTGTGCCAGAATGGGTGCGGTGGGGTTTTCGGTGAAGCTCCCGATGGGCCTCCGAAACGTGTGAGGGGTGTGTCAGGATGGGCGCGGTGGCACCATGCGAGCGCTGGCATCTGGGCCTTCGGTGGAGCTCCCTATGGGGCCACGAAGCGTGTGAACGGTGTGCCAAACTGGGTGCTGCGGCCGCATGCGAGCGCTGGCATCTGGGCCTCTGGTGGAGCTCCCTACGGGGCCACGAAACGTGCGAGGGATGTGTCAAAATGGGCGGGTGACGGAGGAGGGAGGAGGAGGCAACAGGAAAAAGAGGGGGATCGAAGAGGAGGAAGAGGATGGACGCGGGACGCTGTCTCTTCAAAACGAGGACCCAACCCCACAGGACGGTGGGGACCCGAGAGATTGGCGCACACCGGAAAAGCACTCCCAGGATCCTGAACGCCTCGGGACATACACAGTCCCCAGCCATCTGGGCACTGGTGGTCTAACGACGTCGTCCGTTCTTTTTCCAATCCCCTGCTTCCATGTCGGGGGGGTGCCCCTCCCCCAACCCTCTCCCAGGGGTCTATATGGGAGGGTGACGGAAGTGTCAGTCGGGGGCGCGCAAACATGGATTAGCGATCCATGGATGTGGCGCGCGGTCGCCAAATCCATGGATCGGGGGAGGTACCCTCCCCAAAATGCGGCCTGTGCCGCCTCGATCGGCGGCGGAAATCGGCCATTTCCCATGGAAGCGGGACCCGTCGCTAATCCACGCCCCCTTGAGCCACGTTTGCGATCGCCTGAGTCAGGGGGTCATTTTTCGCCCAAGATGGCTCCAAGAAGGCCTCCAATGCTTCTTCAAAATGGCCTCCAATACGGTAAATGTCACAGAAGATGGCTCAAAGTAGCCGCCGACATACCCCTCAGAGGCCCCAAGATGGCTCCAAGTGCCCTCGGAGCCACCAAAATGATCCACCCAGGAATCCAAAATCCTCCGAGCAGCCGAAAAATGCATGGATGTTGCCTTCTCGCCTTTTCGCGTTGGGCCTGGGAGGCCTCAAGAGGGCCCCAGGGTGGCCTCAGAGAGTCACAAGAGGGGCCCAAGAGGCCAGCAGAAGGACCCAAGAGCGCCCCACGGACGCCCCATGGTCAACAGCGAGACACGGAAGGTGAGGAAGCGGGAGAGAGCGACGTTGAGGAGCAAGATGCGGAACAGGAGGGAGAGGAGGAGAAGGAGGAGGAGGAAGAGGAGGAGGAGGAGGAAGAGGATGGGGGGAGGGGGAGGACGAGGGGGAGGCGGAGGAGGAGGAGGAGAAGGAGGAGGAGGAGGAGGAGGGGAGAAGGAGGAGGCGGAGGAGGAGGAGGAGGAGGACGAGGAGGAACAGGAGGCGGAACAGGAAGGATAATGCAGGGCAACCGCAGCCGCGATATGCCAGTGAGCACGCGCTGGACTGGTGTGCGCCTGGGGTCGCCCGTGCTCCGTCCTCCCTCCTGCTCCTCCTCCAGGAGGCGGGGGAGGAGGAGGTGAAGGAGGAGGAGGAGGAGGAGGAGGAGGGGGAGGAGAAGGAGGAGGAGGAGGAGGCGGAGGAGGAGGAGGAGGAGGAAAGGGAGGAGGAGGAGGAGGAGGAGGAGGAGGAGGAGGAGGACGAGGAGGAACAGGAGGCAGAACAGGAAGGATAATGCAGGGCAACCACAGCCGCGATATGCCAGTGGGCACGCGTGGACTGTGTGTGCGCCTGGGGTCGCCCGTGCTCCGTCCTCCCTCCTGCTCCTCCTCCAGGAGGCGGGGGAGGAGGAGGTGGAGGAGGAGGAGGAGGAGGAGGAGGAGGAGGAGGGGAGGAGAAGGAGGAGGAGGAGGAGGCGGAGGAGGAGGAGGAAAAGGGAGGGGAGGAGGAGGAGGAGGACGAGGAGGAACAGGAGGCGGAACAGGAAGGATAATCCAGGGCAACCACAGCCGCGATATGCCAGTGGGCACGCGCTGGACTGGTGTGCGCCTGGGGTCGCCCGTGCTCCGTCCTCCCTCCTGCTCCTCCTCCAGGAGGCGGGGGAGGACGAGGGGGAGGAGGATGAGGAGGAGGAGGAGGAGGAGGAGGAGGAGGAGGAGGAGGAGGAGGAGGAGGACACCGCCTGCGTCGCTGAGCCTGTCGACAGGGCGAAGTAGACCATGTTCGCTTGAGTGTCGTAGACGCAGCTGAACGGTGTTGTGACCGTTGGGAACAGGAACGTGGAAAGACCGTAGGAGGCGGGAGGAGGAGGAGAAGGAGGAGGAGGAGGATAAGGCGGAAGAGGAGACAGGAAGGGAGGGAGGGACGAAGGAACGGAGGTGGAGGAAAATATTGGATGTCATATACACAAAAATCTATACATATGTATATATATATATATATATATGTATATATAGTAAGCTGGAATGCATAGGGACAAGACATGCTGGAGGGAAAGGAAGTAGGCGAGGAGGAGGAGATGGAAACGGAGGATGAGAAAGATGAGTGGGGTAGAAAAGGGAGGCGGAGGAGGACCGGAAAGTCCAACAGCGCCCATCCCGATGCCGAAGCAGTCTGACGAGCTCGGAACATCGGGCATGCCCATCTCATAGCAGGTCGAACCGGTGGGCAAAATAGTGTAGACTGGCGCTTCCGTTGTGGTGGAGATCGTGGTGGTGGCAGTGGTCGTAGAGGAACCTGTCACGGAATGGAGAAGCAAGTGGGGCAGGGGAAAGGAGGTGGGAAGGGAAAGCGACGACGACGACGAGCTCAAGGAGGGGGAGCCTGTCGATGTAGTTTCGGAAAACGTTGTAGTCGTGACAAGCAGCTCACCGATGCAGAGATACTGCTGGTTCGGGTCCTTGTGCTCCTCCTCCCCCTCTTCATCCCCCACCACCTCCTTCTCGTCCTCCTCGTCCTCCTCCTCCTCTTCCTCCTCCTCCTCCTCCTCCTCCTCCTCCTCCTCCTCCTCCTCCTCCCCCCTATCCTCCGCTTCCTCGACCTCGCCCTCGTCCTCGTCCTCTGCCCTCCTCCTCCCACTCCTCCTCCTCCTCCTCCTCCTCCTCCTCCTCCTCCTCCTCCTCCTCCTCTTCCTCCTGCGGCTGCTCCTCCTCATGGCCGATCGCTAACATGTGACCACCACCTCTGATGTCGGGACTTGATTGCGCCCCCCCCCGTCACAACTTGTTCCACGTAAGACAGGGCCATTGAGTGGTGCGCTAAACCTTCCCGACCCGAGAGCAACAGCGGTTACGAGAGGACACGTACGTAGTCTCGCGCCTGGCCACGCAGTCTCCCCGTGAACGCTGTTCTTGTGTGCGTACCGGCCGCATGCATCATGCGGTGGAAGCTGCGGCCACGGCGAGGTGCGGCAAGAGACCCAAACAGACAACAAACCAGCCTGGCGAAGGACCCAACCACATGCAGCTTCGAGTATCGCAAGGCAGCTGGAAACTAAAGGAGTGGGCTAGCAAAAGGACCAAGGCGCGCGTGAGAAGGAAGGAGCGCCTTTGCTGATGGGGTAATAGGGTCAGCCGTAACGGGCTAGATCTGGATGTAACAAGTCACGGGTGACCTGTGCGTCTGTCGACCTGGCCCTGGGGAGCAGCAGGGGCGGTCTGGGGAACAACAGGCGGCGGGGTCTTTGCTGGAGCTCTTACGGGGCCACGAAACGTGCGAGTGGTGGACCAACACGGGCGCGGTCACGTATGCGATTCCTGCCGATGGGGTATTCGGTGAAGCTCCCTAGGGGGCCGCGAAACGTGCGAGGGGCGTGCCGAAATAGGCGCGGTCACACATGCGATTCCCGCCAATGGTGCCTTCGGCGGAGCTTCCTACGGGGCCACGTGAGAGGGCTGTGCGGACACGGGCGCAGTCACGCATGCGATTCCTGCCACTGGGGCCTTCGGTGGAGCTCCCTATTGGGCCAAGATGCGTGTGAGGGGTGTGCCGAACTGGGCACGCAAACGCATGCGACTCCTGTCAATGGGGGCTTAGGTGGAGCTCCCTACGACATATGGGGGTAGTCACGCATACGATTCCTGCCACAGGGCCACGAGTTGTGTGAGGGGTGCGCCGAATCCTTTGGAGAAGGCATGCGAACGCAGACACTGGGGCCTTAGGTGGAGCGCCTCATGGGGTCATGAATCGAGTAACAGGGGGATGCGAAGTGTGGGGGTGCAACATGCGGGCGCAACAACTGGGGCCTCAGGTGGATCTTCCCATGGGGCTACAACACGTGTGAGGGGTGCGCTAAGACTAGGGTGGTGGCGGCGTGCGGGAGCAACAACTGGGGCCTTAGATGAAGCTCCCTCGAAACGTGCGGGCGGTGCGCCAAAGCGGGGTGGTGGCGGCTCGCAGGCGCAACACCTGGGGCCTTCGGTGGACCTCTCTATGTGGCCACGGAACGCGTGAGATGTGCACCAACGTGGGGGGCTGGCGGCTTGCAAGCGCAATCACTGGGGCCTGGAGCTCCCTATGGAGCCACGAAGCATGTGAAGGGAACGCCAATGTTGGGTGGTGGCGGCATGCGGGCGCGACAATTGGGGCCAGAGGGGGAGCTGCCTAGAGGGTAGGGCCACGAACAGTTTGGGGGGTGCGCCAACGTGGGGGGCTGGCGGCATACTGGCGCAACCACTGGGGCCTTAGGTGGAGCTCCCTATGGGGTCACGAAACGTGTAATGGGTGTGCCAACGAGCACTGGGGCTTCACGTGGAGCTCCCTATGGGGTCACGACGCGTGCGAGGGTTGCGCCCAGAGTGGGGCGGTGGCGGCATGCGGGCGCAACCACTGGGGCCCGAGGCGGAGTTCCCCTGTAGGGGAACGGGACGTGCAATGGGTGGTGCAAGCGCGGACTGGTGGCAGCACGCGGACGCAACAGCTGAGTCCTTCGGCAGAGCTGCCTGTGGCCCTATGGGACCACCAAACCGCTGGGGCCTGAGGTGGAGCTCCCGACAGGGGCCACGAAACGCGTGAATGGTGCGACAACGTGGGGTGCTGGCGGCAGGCGGGCGCCACGGCACGTGTGAGTGGTGTGCCGAAGCAGAGGCACGCGGAGGGCAGAAGCAAGGGATGGGAGGAGGAGGACGAGGACGCAAGGAAGGAGGGAGGAGACCCTGCGCACCTGCTTCAAAACGAAGACCCAACTCAACACAGGATGGTTGGGAAATAAGTCCACCCCTCCTCCTTCCTTCGCCACCCTCCCCCACCCTCTTCCCCCCTCTTCCTCCGCCCTCCTCCTCCTCCTCCTCCTCCTCCTCCTCCTCCTCCTCTTACCCCCTCGTCCTCCTCCATCCTCCCTCCTCCGTTCTTCTTTCTCCCTCCTCCCTCCTCCCTCTTTCTTCGTCCTTCCTCCCTCCTCCCTTCCCCCTCCCCCTCCTTCCACAGATGCCATATGCCTCCGATATCCTCCTCCGAGGGCCTCGTCCTTCAAGCCCTCATCACCATCACACAACCTCCAGATGAGACGAGGGTTCCAGGTGGACTGCATCAGCTAGTATACGACTGCGCTATAGCACAACATGGGAGGTGAGACGGCCCTCCACCCCCGCAAAAAGCCGAACAATCCCTGCAGAGGATCAGAAAACAAAAACTGCAAAAGAAACACAGGGCGGGAGCACCTTGGATGCAGAACGGGGGGCGCCTTTTTCAGCTTGAGCCCCGGCCGACTACGGAGGACTTGGGCTCGGAGCTCAAACGCTGCAGACGACGCTCGAAAAAACTTCCACGTCACTCCCGCGCGCGCGCGCGAGCTCGATGAGGCGATATTCTCTGGCGGACAATACCTTCCGCCCCGAACGTGCCGAACAATCCCCGAACTACAAGCTTCACTGAAAATGGGGCAGGCGGACAGCGGCAGCTGAAGCACCAGGGGTGCGAGGCCGGGTGCTTTTCCAGACGTGTCAAAGCAGCTGGCGCGATCGGACGCTGTCATAGTGCTGCCCAGCTCTCCTCAGTGTACCTCTGTTTCGCGCGAAAAAAAATGCCCCGCTTGCCCGAGCGCGCACGGCGGAGGCCACCAGAAAATCTATCCGCCATGTCACCGCATTCGAGCCAAGTTCGCTATCTCCACGGAAACCCATCGACAGAAGTCTGCCAAGCGCCACGCGGCACGAGCCACGGGAGATGGTCTGGAGTCTGGGCATCCACCACAGCCCGGAAATCTACGGACTCTGAAGCACCCACGGGCCCACTGCGACGATTGGATGGTTTGAAGACCCTCGGGGCGGCCACGAGAAACATTCGAGGCCCACCTCGAGCGACTGTGCTGTCCCGATCTGGGAGAGGCGGGCCGGCTCGGCGCCTCAGGGCCCGGGCGGACCGGGAACGGCACGTGTGGGCCCAAAGTGATGGCTCTGGCAGGTCATTCCCTGGAAAGCGGCCGACGAGCGGGCGGACTGCCCGTGCCGCGCTCTCGACGGACGGATTCCTCGTGCCTCGCGCAGACCTTCCAACTCCTCCTCCTCCTCCTCCTCCTCCTCCTCCTCCTCCTCCTCCTCCTCCTCCTCCTCCTCCCCCTCCTCCTCCTCCTCCTCCTCCTCTTATTAGTCTTATTATTATTATTAGTATTATTATTATGATTATTAGTATTATTATTATGATGATGATTGTTATTATTATTATTATTATTATTATTATTATTATTATTTGTCGTATTATTATTGTTATTATTAGTAGTAGTAGTATTGTTATTATTGTTGGTTTTAATTGAAAATTATTGTTTTTTTTTATTTTAATATCATTATTATTCGTATTATCATTGTTACTATTGTTGCTACTATTATTATTGCTATTGTTATTAATGTTATTATTCTTATTATTAGTATTACTATCAATATTATTATTATCCTTATTATTATTAATGATAGTATGATTATTATTAGTAGTAGTAGTATTATGAGTATTCGTATTATTATTAGTACTGCTATTATTGGGATTACTATTATTACTAGTACGATTATTATGACTACTACTTTATCCTCCTCCCGGCGACCGCGCTGCCAGCGCCTCTCCCAAAACGGCGTGTACGTATAGGCCCGAACTGCCTCCGGCGGAGTCGCTCCCAAAAGCGGCCGAGGCGGGCGGACGTCTCGTGCCTCGCGCAGCCCTTCCAACCCCATGTTGCACCCTCGGGGGGACCTCGTCTGTCCTCTCGTTGCCCTCTCCGCATCGACTCCGTGTCGGATCCCATGTCGGACTCGTCGGATCCGTGTCGACTCTGCGTCGAAGCCGCGCCAAGTCCGCACCGAGTCCGCACCGCGCCCGCGCCGGGCACACGAACAGACACCAATGTTTGGGTGGGGGGCAGGCGAGGCCCCCCGACGATGCCACGCGGCCAACTGCCCCGGGCAGCCGCGCTGCCGGCGCCTCTCCTGACCGGACGGTCGCTCGACGGCCCTGCACAACGCAGCCGGCACGGCACGGGGCTCAGCATGCACAGCACCAAGTGGAAGACACAAAATGGCATAAGCAACCACGTCGTTCCTTTCTGATCGTGCTCATTTCTAGTTGTGCTCGTTTCTGATTGTTCCTGGCCCCCCAGTGGCCAGGAAGAGGCCCAGGATAGAAGAATTAGAAATGAAAGGATCCTGGGCCCACCAAAAATCAGAGAACTCTCGAAGAACTAGAAACGAACAAGGTGTAAACTTTTGGCATTCCGCGCAGGTTTCTCGGATCTGCGCTGGACCCCCCCTTCCCTGGCGCGCGGAGGGCGCCAGAGGCGGCGGCGCCGGGGGCGCCGCCAGGGGGGGGGGGGGGGCGCCCGGCGCGGATCCAAGAAATCCGCGCGGAGCGCGAAGAGTTTATGCTTATGGCGCTTTTCAAGGGGCCCTGGGACCCAGAGGCAAACAGACACAAGTAGCAG